AAATTTGGGACCTAAAGTAAAACAAGTTGAGAATGACTGCTGTACCGAGCTGTAATATTTTCAGTTTCATCCACTATCCGGTTCAGTGCCTGAAGCAGAGAATATCAATAATTTAATGCTCATGTCAGCTGCTGTATGACTCACTGAGGCGTTTAAGGGCCTCCACTGTGATCTCTGGGTCTCCACACACTTTCTTCTCCACTTCCTGCCATGTCAGGAGATCAAGCACAGCTTGCGGCACCACTTTCACCAGTCCTGCCTGCATGGCAGCAATCTGTGGTGCAGAAACACAGCACAGAATTTTATGGAATGATCGAAAAAAAGAAAGAAAAAAAAACATATGCTTAGTACATCCTCAAAAAGAATGTTTTTTTTTTCTGTTAATCCCAATTATAATAGTCTCAATATACTTTGTAATGTAGTATTACCTGTTCTCTGCTCTCTTCTAGTCTGGATTTCTGTACCAGGCGGATGAACTCCATGCGGTCTTCATATCGGACCACCACTCCACTGCCTCCTGGAATCAGCTCCACCAGCCGGCCGTCACTCAGGGGTGTGGTGTACACAAGCTCCTGGCCGAACTTAAAATCAAACGTCTCCTTGTCCATATGCTCCATAGCCTCCAACAACTTCACCTAAGGAATCACACCAAACATGTTTCATCAGTTCCACTGAATGTTTTCACCTTTATTTATATAGCGCTTTATTCAATACAAATGATTTTGATTCAGCTTTAAAGCAGCTCTACAGAAGACAAGTGTCATAATTCAGCTCAATTCAGTTCAAGTTTTGTTCTCATCTTATAGTGTCAGAACGGTCAAATTGATAATAAAACTATAATAATTGTCTTTTAAAACCCAACTAAGCAAGCCAAAGAAGATAGTGGCAAAGAACCTAAACTCCATTAGGTGACAGAAATGAAAAAAAAACAAACAAAAAAACAGGCTCAATCGACTGACTAGTTCTCCTCTGGCGAAAGAGTGGTCAGCACCAAGATGCAAAGGTAAGACAGAGGGAGAGATATTTGGGCTTCTTACCAGCACAGAATCTACTGCAGGAAAGTCTTTAGTCCAGCTGACCGCTTCTCCAATCAGCTGCTTCCACACCAGCCCTGGCAAAGCCAGAACCTAAAGGATAAATATTACGAAACCTCAAGAACGTTCAGTTAACACTAAGGTCCCACTGCAATTACACCACAAGACCAGCACTGACCAGAAAGTCTTTTCCGCGAAGAGCAGCGCCCATTAGTTGCCCAATCCACTCAAACTTTTGGAACTCTCGGCATGAAGGATTTGGCACATAGAAGTCTCTGGCCTCTCCAGCCCCCTGATCCAAAAACAGTTTAATCATTATATAATGATAAGTTAATAACTACATCGTCAGTTACAATAGAGTCAACTCTTATGCAATGGACTATAGAAAGAAAACGACAGTGCATATGTCAAGTTAGTTGTTACCTGGTTAGAAGTTCGTGTAAAGAATGGAAGTGGCATGGGGCACTCTGATGAGCTGGGACAAAGTTCTTCAGACATGTCTGCCAGGCTGTCTCGAAAACCACCACCTACAAGACAGAAATCTCAGGTGAGGATACTGTGTTTTATTACAGACATGAGAATTACTGTGGGTGGGAGGAAGCTTATCTCTATATGACCTTGATCGATGATGCCTTCTGCAATGAATTTACACTCCCACCATTGGTCATATCGTGCTGGCCACCTGTAAGAAAGAGAAAAATATTTGTGTGTATAAAGCATAATAACATGGTAGTTTCACTATCATAATTAGTATGTTATAGAGCATTTTGACTATTTAAAAAGAGTAAGTACAATAATAATAAAAAAAAAGCTTCTGGAATTTTAAAAGACTACCTGTAGTCCAGAGTCTTTTCATACTTGTCAGACGGCTTCAGACCCTCATACACCTGCATAAACAATAAAGAGTATTCACTCTACATTACCCTTCAAATGTTTGTGGTCGGTCGAGACGATTTTAAAAATGTTTTAAAAAATGTCTTAAGCTCACCAAGGCTGTATTTATGTTAAAAACAGCAATATTGTGAAATGTGATCACAATTTAAAATAACTTATCTTACTGAAAATATTTTCAAATGTAATTTATTCCCGTGTTGACAAAGCTGAATTTTCAGCAGCCATTACTGTAGTCTTCAGTGTCACACGATCCTTCAGAAATCATTTTAATATGCTGATTTGGTGCTCAAGAAACATTTCTTATTATCATCAATGTTGAAAACAGTTGTGCTGCTTAATATTTTTGTGGAAATAATTTTTCAGGATTCTGTGATGAATAGAGAGAATAGCATTTATTTAAAATATAAATGTACTGTAATATATTTAAATGTCTTTACTGTCAATTTAATGTGTTCTTGCTGAACAATGCAGCCTTCATTTCTTAAAAAAAAACTTATGTGACACCAACTTTTGAACGGTAGTGTGTTTGACGCAACCACAGAACAATGGATTTTGCAAACATATTGACACTTGTTTTGTGGACTACCTGAGTGAAGACAGCATTTTTACATGTGGGGTCCAGAGTGGGATTGTCACGGTGCTCCATGGCAAGGCGACGGTTGATGTAAAGGCGGGGCATGAAGTTAGGCTTACTGGTCTCAGAGTCCTTCAAGCACTGGGTGATGAGGGCAGAGCGGCGCTTCGACAACAGCAGGAACTGCTTTATGCTCTAAACGGCAGCACACAGTTTGAGGAAACAGAAAAAAAAAAGTTTGGCACAAATTGGGGCAGAAAGTACAAACTTCACCTTGATAATTTAAGTAACTGATGTGAAAGATGAAGGACAACACGTACACATAGACACAAACTATTCACTGAAGGTGTAGAGAATGGCACAAGATAAATTTGCTATAGATAAGAGTACTAACTTTGATCTGGTTGAACGTTCCAAGGCTGTAGTCCCATGCAGGCACCATATGAGGCAACAGACTGTCCAGGAGTGTGATGAACCTACAGACACAAAAAACAACACTAAGAGCTGCCAACAACTCACATACAGACCTTATTATGTCACACATTGCTGGGTGTTACCTCTGAATGACCAGTGCCCGGTGATAGAGGACATCAGGCAGTGTGCCCTCCAACCTCGGGTAGCGCACTAGGTTGGGAGACTGGAACACATCCGCATTCAGGCCCAAGTCACGCTCGCAGGATGATTTGATCTTTAGACCCCTGATCCGTACATCGATTCCCTCGTCTACAGCAAAATATAATTATAGAAAATAAACATTATAAATCAAGATGACTTTCTCTTTCAGATGACAGCGCGCATGTCATGTCAGATGAATCTTACCTCTGCATTCCTCGATTCTGATCTCTATAACAGGCAAATGTGATGTCATGTCCTCCAGAACACAAACCTCTCCAATTAAGTTGCTGTGACAGAAATAAAGCCATGCTGTTGCAATATTCAGAATCTTATATAACCTTTACATATTTATAACTTGAAAACAGTGCTTCTACTACAACTTATACATATAAAATGGTAATTGGCCTCAAAAAGTAATTAGACTTTTAAACCACACTTAAAAATGCATGAATCTTATTACATTACATAACAAAATATCAAAGTGACATTTATTTCAGAAGAAAAACATTTTCCAAAAAAAAAAAAAATTGCACCAATAAAGTTTGTTAAAGGGGTCATATGATGCCCATTTTCCACAAATTGATATGATTCTTTAGGGTCTTAATGAAAAGTCTGTAACATAGTTTGGTTAAAATTTCTCAACGGTAGTGTAAAAAACACTTTTGTTTTTTTACCCTGTCAAAAACAGCTCTTTTCAGATTAAGCCGTTTTTGTAGCATTTCCCTTTAAATGTTAATGAGCTCTGCTGACCCCGCCCCTCTCTTCCGAGCAGAGCCGCTCTCAGAGAGACTGTTTACTTTAGCCGCATTCATCGTGAAACTTGCTAATTAGCAAATTATTAGGAAAGGCGATTTGCAAAGATTCATTACAAAACCTTATACTCACTTCTTCTGTAGATGAGGCTGGATCATGAATGATTCGCGCGAACATAGACGCATTTAGGCTCAGATGTAGGGAGTAAACTACGACTGTTATGTCCATTATTAC